TCTAACCTGGGAAAAGCTACATCAATTGCAGAAACCTGAGCAAGAACTCTGGGGGTGGGGGTATAATAGTAATAGAGTCTTTGCTTGGCACACGTGTGTGAGGTCCTGAGTTCAACTCTTAAGACTGTGGAAAATGTTTGGAACTATAGGTTCTTTGAGAAATTTGAAAGCAAAAACAAAAACAAAACAAAAACAAAAATGCCATCCCAAAATATTTCCCTTCTATGTGGCAATAATGCTTGCACATCTAAGAGGAAGGTTGGCTCTCAAACACAATCCTAAGAAGCCTTACAGAGTCAAAAATTGTGTGAATGACTTGGTGTTCACCAGTACTTGTTAGACTGCTGGGTTCCTAATTTCCTAGTTCTTACCTTTTTTTCTTCCTTTATTTCCTCCAGTGATTCCAATTTATCTCTTTTTAAGCCTCTTTCTTCTTGTACAGTCACTCCAGATGCCACAATATGAACCTGACACACGGTCTTACCAAGAAAACATCTGTTCTTCATGGACTGAAATCTTGATAAATACTGTATTCACACACACAAACACACACACACACACACACACACACACACACACATGTCACAAGAATGGCAGGCATGACTGCGTTCTTCTTTTGTAGCCTCAGATGAATCTCTTCTTCCTGGGTTCAAACTGCCTTTACAGAAAGTTTCCCACCACTGAGAACTACTGTAAGTCTGCTATGGGGCTAGAAGACTCCCTTTTAGGATGCATGGGTGGAAACAAATACATCCAACCTTTCACTTACCAATGGGCTTATTCCTGTGAAGAATACGGCAACAAATGTGGTCAATGTTAAAGACAATAAAGCGTCACATAAAAAATTCAGGAGCTTAGCTTGGAGATGCTTAGCTCAGCAATAGAATTAAAGCCTAGCCTGTCCTGGCTTTGGTCCCCAGAACCACACACAAGAAATGTTGAAGGTGGTTATTATGGCTAACATTTGTAGAAGGCATCTGTGGTGCTGGTGATACACTGAGTGTATAATAAGTGCCAGTCTGTTTGATACTGATCCTCATGATATGATCACTTTTGCAATTCCCCTTTTCATGTAAGAATCAGTTATTGAAGGTTGTAGCCATCGCTCTAGTTATTATAGAGTTCTGGTAGCCAAGGAAACTGAGATTCTCACAAACATCCTACTGGCTGCCTCTTTCCATGAAATGGAGCTATTGTGAGCACCTTGTATTTATTTGCATTTGGTTTTCTTTCTTTTTTATTAAACCATTCTTGAAGATTGTATTTGATTTTAAATTATTACATATAATAATTTATATAATTATAATTTAAATTTTTAAATATATATATATAT